TTTTTCAGATGGTATCGATCTCGCACAAAACTCGAAGGAGAACCAAAAGGTTACCTATGCGTATATGCACGCGAATATGCATATTCTATACTTTAGAATAGTTTAAAAACGTGAAACGTCATGCTCCGATCATGATCTCGATCGTAATATAAATTTTAGATCGGGAGGAAAAAAAATAATTTACGATGGGAATTTAATCATTGAAAAATCATTATACTTCTCTCTCACACTTGGTATGTGATCGATAGTAATTTACTCTAAAAAGGATCCTTACGTTGTAAAGAAGTCAGTCGGGTAAAAGAATGGGTGTGTAACTTTAACAAAGTTTAATCAGAGCCGACGGTAAGTTTACCATAAATCCTTCGAGCCTCAAGGAGTTCTTCGTGCTTCTTCTCTTTCTCTTTCTCTTTCTCTTTCTCTTTCTTCTCTTTTACCCTCTTTCCCTCTCTTTCTTCTCTTGTTATACCGATAGAGGAATAAACGAGAAAGGAGATAATCTCTGGCAACGTGCGTTAAGATTCGAAAGGTACAAGGAAAAGGAGCGTGTCCTAGTAGCATACATTATCCTTTACCTTTTCATCCCTTCGCTCGTTTTCCCTACCCTTACTTTAACCCTACACTCCACTTCACTCCACTCCACCCATTTCCGTCTATTCTTGGCTACCTCTAGGAGGTGACTCTTACGCCGTCTTCTTCTCTCTTCTTTTTCTTTTTCTTCTTCTCTACTTTCTCTTTTCAAGAAACTTTGTCTCTCTCTTTCTCTCTCTTTCTTCCTCTCTCTCTCTCTCTCTCTCTCTCTCTCTCATTTTCTTTCTTTTTCTACTTGTGCTACACTGGCACCCTCTCTCATTCCACCTCTCCTTCTCGTCTCCGAGCTCGCATAATCGTGCATTTGCATGCAAATTCGATATCACTACTTAAAATGTAAAACAACCCCGCGTTCTCTCTCCCTTTTTCTTTCGCTCACTCTCTTTCTCTCTCTCTTTCTCTCTCTCTCTCTCTCTCTCTCGCTCGTCTCCTCTTCCTTGCAACGTTCTTTTTCTTCTTCTTTTTCTTCTTCTTCTGTCTCATCTTTCTCTTTCTCTTCTTTCTTTTTCTCTCTCGTGAGTATTCCCATCAAAGTGAATAGAAAAGAGTTTGAAAATGTGAAAAATTGGTGAAAGGAGAAAAGTGCCTTTGTGGAAAATAAATTCCGTTTCTCGAATTATAATCTTTATAGTTTATAATAGTTTCTTACTATTTCTATATTAACTATGGAATATTATCTCTTCGAATTAGAAGAGAACGTACAAATTTGGATTTGGATTTGAATTTGGATATCGAAATGGGGAAGAACGTAGATGTTGACGAGAGAGATCGATGGAAGTGGAAGTTGACAAAACTTTCGTGGGAAATTTGGAACGCTAACAGGATTAGTTTGGAGAATCGAAACGTTCTCAGGATTATGCATCGACTTCTGATCGGATGTCGAATCGACTATTCGTGGTTTCGTTATTCGTCTTATTTCCGATTCCCATTATTTTCCAAACTTGTTCTATTTCCTTCGTTAAATTCGAATCAATAATGAATGAGTTCTATTACGTTTCTTAATGATTTATACCAGTATATAAATTTTGACATTTAACCGAACGAGAAACCCATTCAAATCATTCTAATGAAAGATTAACTGCATTATCGAAATTAACTGCAAAGTTGAAAAAGACGAGAAAATGTATCGAAAAATTACAATTAAAAAGAAAAAAAAATAAATAAACCAAATGAAAATAACAAGGTATTTCTGACACGTCTTATAATTTTTTTTTTCTTGAGAATAACAATTAACTTTTGTTAAGAGTAAGTTGCAAGAGCAAACATCTGCGTTAGAACGAGAAAACGTCATAAGACATAAAAATATATCGAAAATTATGCAACATGGATATTATTTCATATTATATTATACATACATAGATATATATATATATATATACATATACATACCACTTCAGTTAATCTTCGAAGTGAGATTCGTTATATAAGGTAGATGTAGTATCTACGTATATATGTATATATGTATGTACGTATACAGCACGTGTCGTGTACTCTTGTAACGTGTACTATGCCGTTGTTCAATGGTTCTCTTGATTAGACGTTACCAGCGATGTTTCGGCAAATATTTGTTTACGAATCTCCAAAGATCTATTGCGCTTTGTAAGCGAGAATAAGAAAGAGATACAAAATTGCATGACGTTTTTTATAAGATAATAAAACTATCCATTTCGTTCTAATAAAATTTCGATAAAAATAATTATATCTAATGATAATTAAATTAAATACAATACGTTATATGATCAATTCAGATTATATCAATTGTAATTTCCACATTATCTTTATCTTATATTTGTTTAATAGAGACGAATCAGAACTTACCCAAACCTGCATGTCCATAACAAAAGAGGCAACCATCCGTTCCATTGATGACAGCGTGAATAACGTCGGTGAGGGCGCTCGAACAGATTTCCGTCTGAAATCGGAAACCCCATAAAGTCGAGAAACTATGAAAAAAATTTGTGTATATATATATATATATATATTCATTTTAAAGCAACTATTCTTCTTTAAAATAATCGTATGAATAATCGCAAGTTATCAAGAGTATAACATAGTTAAAATTTTCTCAAAAACGCAGAAAAATATTCAATTTCTATTAAGAAAAATCGATTGATAAAGAAATTGCTTGTTAAATAAAAATCACTTTAACATTATAAGTAATAATATTTGGTCGATCTGAGAATAAGAAGACTCTTTCTTTTTTCTAACGAGAGAGAGGAAGAAAGAGAGAACGAGAAAACGACCAAAAGCTAGTGAGCAAGCGAGCGAGCGAGTGAGCGAGAGAGAAAGAGAGAGAGAGAGAGAGAGGTATGAATTTAATTGAATCCACCCCTCATCGTAGCCAGAGCAATCCTCTATGTTTCAAGGAGACGACACGATAGAGAGAACGAGAAGAGAGGGAGGAGATTCGTTCGGAAGAGGCAAAGGAGGAAGAAACTGCGTCATCAGGACACTCAAGGATAATGACGAATCGCGTAAAGTGTTTAAGAAAACGTCTGTAGGACGGTTTAATAAACGCTTGTGAGGCCTCGGCACTGAAAAGCAACGGGACCGAGAAGAGGAGTAGAAGGAAAGGGGAAGGGGAAGAGGGAAAGCGAGTTGGTGGTGGAGTGTCTTTGTTTGCTTCTAATATATTCATAGCCTGGAAAAGTCTTTTCGTACCTAAGCTAGAAGAAGAGTGTCTCAACCTCCTCATCCCCTTCTTCTATCCATCGTCTCTCTTTTTCTCTCTCTCTCTCTCTCATGTTTTCCTTCATTTTCTTTTTATCCCACCCCTTAACACACTTGGGTCGGGTCTCAAACGAGAATGCGATAGTATCGAGATTTTAGGAAGGTTGTAAGATAGGGATAGATAGAGAGAGAGAGAGGGGGGGGGAGAGAGAGAGAAAGAGAGTGAGAAGGCTGGAAAATCGGATGTAACGACTTTTACGTACGATCTGTCGACAACATCGGGGGTGTTAAGGAAAATGGGATAAAAAGGGGCCGGGGGTCGTGTGTTGGTAAGAATCGAAAGGGTCCACGGTTCCGGGGTTTTGCGAATTTCCTCCGGAAGCAGTCGTGAATTTCCTTTGAGCCTGTACCCGATGTGCATTGAAATCGATCGATATATAAGGACATCGATCGTTTATACTACCGTTTCTCTCCTTCATCTTTCTCTTTCTAACGACTATATTTACTCGACACAAATGTTCGAAAAGGAGAATTCAGAAGACAGAGAAAGAGAGAGAGAAAGAGAGAGAGAGAGAGAGAGAAAGAGAAAGAGAGAGAGAGAAAGAGAGAGAGAGAGAGACGAATGAAAGGGAAAATAGCTGTACCACATCGAGAAGCCTTCAAAATTGAGAGAGAAAGAGATGGACGAACGTCGATACCTCGACCAAACGAGATTGAAATCTTTCTGAACGAGAGAGAATCGGATGAATCTCGTGACTCGGAATGTATGAGAAAAAGAAGGATGAAAAAAGATTCGAGCTGCTGTCGATACGAGTACTCCGTTGGTCTTGAAGGGACGACGAAAAATAGAAGAAATAGAAAATAACGTCGAGAATGAAGAAAAATTGTCGATAGAACGTGAGAATACTTTATTATATTTTTCTTTTTCTTTTTCGGGTTGAGATAGAAGATGGAGACGTGCGAATCAATCGAAAGATATTCTACGAATGGAAAACGTTTAAACGTTAAAAATATTCGAACGAATTCTTTATTCGCAAAAAAATATCTGATAAACGATATCTAAGTTCTAATTCTAATTACGATCGAGAAATATTTTAATATTACGATATTATAAGAATGTGAATGAGAAACGATTGAAAAAATATTTCTATGATATCTGAATAGATATGTAGAAAAAATATCTAATATCAAGCGATGAAGGCAACAACGACATTCATAATTATAACGGGATCATCCGTAGGGACGTAATGCAAAGCAAACACATTTCGCAGGTAGCTGCACCCTCGAGAGATCCCGCACTTCCCCTCTTGGAAGCTTCGCGGAGCGACGGCATGACGGTTAATGAAATACGTGACCGAAGCCTCCGTCATAATCTCAAACACTTGATTCCATGCTCGTGCGGTGGGAGAAATTGAGAGAGACAGAGAGAAGGAGAGACTAGAGAGAATGTTTCCACCCTCGCTTTTGTTCTCTCTCTCTCTCTCTCTCTCTCAATCTCTCTTTCTCTGTCTGTCTGTCTGTCTCCCTCCCTCTCTCTCTCTTTAACTCTCACTCCAACACGAAAGAGACTCGTGCTCTCTCACGAACGACGCTGATTTGAAAATTTACATGGTTCGATCGATCAACGTTTTACTCTCGAATTGTCAGCCGTTTTGATCAAAATAAAATCAATCTCTTTTTCAACATATATTGATAAATCGAGATCGTTCGATCGATGAAAATTCATCATAAACTAAATATCGATGATTAAAACAATTAAAACAATTAAATTACTAAATAAAATAAGAGCTAAGTTCATGAAGATAAAAATTAAAAAAAGAAAAAGAGAAAGAAAGAAAGAAAGAAAGAAAGAAAGGAAGGAAGGAAAGAAAAAAATAGGGAGAGAAAGAGAGAGAGACAGCAGATGGACCATGGTGTGACTTACAAACGATTCTTTCTACTGAGCTCGTAGAAAAGCGTGTCGTCGGTTTGGATTCGACTTGCAGGACGCGTTTTGGTAACGCAATATTGGCGAACCAGAGTGGAATACCAATGGCGTCAGGGGTTAGTTCGACTATAGAAGGGAAAAGAGAAAAGAAGAGAGTAGGGAGAGACGATGTTCGAGGTGTGGTTCACCTTCGAACGACGAACGTGGCTTCCATCGTTTCCCTTATTCTTCCATCCCTTCTTCTTATACTAGTCTCTCTCTCTCTCTCTCTCTCTCTCTCTCCGTCTCTTTTTCTTTTTCTCTTTTCGTCTTTCTTCCACCCTCTGTTACGACGAAATGTAAAACCCGTGTCGAAAGTTCGAAAAGAAGCTGCGACTCGTGGAATTTCTTGTTTCTTGAAGGGTAGGAACGGAAAGAAAGAGAGAAAAAGAAAGAAAGAGACCCTTTTAATGCTTGGAAATAATCGAAAGACACCATCCCTCTTAGTGGTAAGCGAATCTCTTAATTTGCAAGTTTCCAGATGTCGAAGGAACGCGAATGTAGGACGAACGTTTTGCTCCTTCATCGTCTCTTTCTCTTTCTTCATCTCTCTATTTCTACTTTCCCCTCTTCTTCCTTCTCTTTTTCCTCTTCTCCATCCTCAGCGCGAGAATGCTTCGTATCGCGAGCTCTCGAGCACGAAGCCACTAAATTGAGCGGATCGAGCGAGCGAGCGGAGAATTAAGGAATTACCTTTCTTCGCTCGATTACCATCGCACGCCTTCGTAATCAGCTTTCGCCTTGTGCATAGGCGAAACACGTCTCGCGGACTTTAATGAAACCACGTTCATGAAAAGAAAAAAAAAAAAAAAAAAAAAGAAAAAACGACGGAACGTCGAAGTGGAATATAAAAGTGAATGTGAACTATTCCTTAAATGGGATTCTAATAATTTTGTTAAGATCGTTTTAGGATAAATATGACAATGGTTTTTTTCTTCTTCTCCTTTTTTTTTTTTTTTTTATTCTTTCTTTTTCATTCGAACGATCAAAAATATTTGATTGAAACACGTTTATTATCAAAATGATTTTTCAATCCATACATGTAAGAATTGATTATTGGAAATTATATATGTTGATGTAACTAACAGTCAAAAGGGATTACGTAATCCCTCGAAATTATATAACTCGTTTATTTTGACTTATTTAACGATTTAATGAAACAAATAATTTTATAGGTATATAATAATATAAGAACGATCTATTATAGAAATTTTTTCGCATAACTAAATATATATGATTTATAAAGAGAGAAAATAGAAATAATTTCATTAAAAATTGTTAAGATTTTTGATGTATTTATATAAGAGTACGTATTAAACATCAAATTAAATTCTTTTATTCGTTATTATTATATATTAATTATTCAATTGTCATTAATGAAAACATGATTAAACGCAAAGAATTAATCTTCTGTTAAAACGAACGACTAACTGTAGAATCGATCCACATGAAGTTTACGATGATCTCGTATAGGTTGTATGCGAAAGAGAGTACCTCTGCTTTCTCGAAGATGCAGTTAAATTTGCATATGGATAAGAGAGAGGAGATAGGTTCTTCGTCGTAAACCGCAAAGCGTCTCGACGACGACGAGAAGGATGATTCGACGTTCGTTGAAAAGCGTATCGAAAACAAACACCCTTCCTCCTATCGTAGAAAGAGGGTGCATTCCACCCTCGTCGTCAGTGGTACACGTGGCGAAACATGGCATCGACTGCGCCGGTACTGCTTGTATTGTGTGAGAGTATAGAGGATAAGAGAGAGAGAGAGAGAGAGAGAGAGAGAGAGAGAGAGAGAGAGAGAAAGGAAAACGCACACACAGATACGGACAGGAAATTCCCTTTTCCGGAATTCACGAGTCGATAATTCCAAAAATTGCATGCAATACGGCCGACGTCCGGTTTTCCCTGTCGAAGTTATTACACACTCCGACTGTTATTCGCAGTAATTATAAATAATTTCACGAGTGTAATATCTCTGGTTAATTATTATTCTACAACGAAAGATCTGAATTTTTGAAATTTCACGTATGGGGATATATATATATATATATGTATATATATATATATATATAATTTCGATCAGGGAAAATAGAAAAATCACGTGCGAGAATAATTTTTTTCTTCTTCCTCTCTGGCCGAACAGAGAAAATTTATTTTAGACGAATTATCTTGCAACGTCATCATGTTTTAAATTCAATCTTTAAAATATCCACGATACTCTGGTTAACATGTCTAAAGTTTGAAAAAGACCTTGTCCCTTACGATATACTACGAAAT